ATTATCTTTTTGTCCCAAACCTTAAGTTATATTTCATGATCTTTTTTTCAACTTTTGAAGGTTGGATGAAACGATATTATCGAACTGTAGAAGAATGGAAGTATTACAATAATTTAGCTTTTCGTAGGCCATTTCAAAAGGATTTGCCTTCGGAACACTAAGTAGGATGGAAGTTTGCTTCTTGCTTCTTTTATTTTGGCCATTATTCGATAAAGACCTAATCGCTCATTATTTTGAGCCCCTACTCAGAGCGGCGTGTGCAAGGCTGCGATTGTGCCCCGGTTATAAAAGGTTATTGAATCTCGATCACGTCAAGTCAGCTTGATTGAAGTGGGAGCGATTTGTCACTCTGAAAAAGGCGTCGTTGGGTGTTTTATCCGGAACATCCTTCGGGTTAAAGTAATTTTTTAATGCATTATAATAATTAAGGGGCTTTGGCGAATTGAAAAATCTCGTGATTAATCGTCACGTCAGTTGATCGTGATACAAACTGAACGATATTTATGTGACGAAGTATTCGGTCGTTAGTGTTGACTGTTGTCTTTCCGTCGCCATCATGAAAACGCAAATGATTTGTACGTTGTTGAAGGGCTTTTTATTCCGTTTTCCCGGCCGACCATCGATATTTATTCCCTGATTTCTGCCGGTGCGATAAGCTATCAGAGTCGGTTTTGAAACGTCGGTATACCACCTGCCCCATTTCATTTTATCTGCAAAGCCGGGACGAGTTGACTGGTGTATATATAGGGCCTGCGGATAACCTTTTTGCTCAGGGGTTATCTTACGGTCTTTACGAGCGGGATAAATCTCTTTAAGATACCCTTCAATGTCCCTTCGCCGTAGTCACGCCCTGTCGACCCTTCAGTCTTTTTAGATTTATTCCTTTCAGCCCTTTTGCGTCTATTTATTGCGAGGAGAGAGAACGTCAAAAGCCGCTTCTTAAATCGTTTATCCCGGTGCTCCGCCCAGTCGGGTGAAAACCATCCTTAATAATTGGTAATCCCATCCGAAGAAAGGTCAATTGTCTTCGTCCCTCAAATTTCAGAAGTGGGAAATCCATATGGCCAACCGCTGAGTTGGGAGGTTTTGTTGTTTCCTCTTCCATGAATAATGTACTATCACCTAAACCTCCTACAATTTATCTCTCGTTAAAAAACTTTTCCCCTAAGCGTTTTATCCCATTTTACAATGATATTTGATACTCGGGATTATTTCTAAACCTAATTGCTAATTGAATCTAAATGATTGTTGGACGATTTTAAACCTAAAGTAATGTTTCTTTTAATTTGGTCAATCATAATTAACACAAGAATGACACATCTACACAGAAAACAAACACTTTGAACCCTGAAGATGATCTCAATAAAGACCGAAACGTTGGCTCGATAAAGAAAATGTTTTTCTAAAATCTACTTCACACCAGACCGCATCTCACGATCCCCAAATAACATAATTTTAAAATATTTCTTTTTCAAGTTGTACGATGGTTGCCCCGTTTTTACGTAACCAATAACACAGGTCATAGAAATCTTCATATGCCAAAAGTTCTTGAAACCAACAAAACATATTAGAGATGTTTTCATACTAAATTACAAAATTACACTAACACAAATACGATTACTGCATTCACCACGATTACCACGTAAACGACTGAAAAGAAAATGGATGCGATTTTTGGATTTAGATTTGTATAGGCTCAAATCCGCACTATACTTACATGTATACAAACATGACTCATAGTCCACCGCCATTTCCAGCTTTTGCTATTTACAGTAAATTACCGGCAGCCCTCTAGAATCACCCATCTCGGGTGTTGGCAGACCTCGGTCTTATTCGTCCAGCCAACGAGGTTGGGCTTCGGGTGCTGTCAAATGCCATGTCAATTCAGCCTCAACGCATGCAGTTCCAAACCCGTTCATTCTTATATACATTCACTCCTATTTACATACCATTAATTCAATTAGGGTGATGGAGTACTACGATATTCCTCCATCACCCTTTACACATAATATACAACTAACCTAATTAAGGGTCGATGGGGTCTCGATATTCCGCCATCACCCATTCACGCTAATAAATACATTCACTCAACGCAAACTATGTATAAACAACTACCATTACTATATACAATAGAACAACCCTGTTTCCTCCAAGAATTGGACCAAGGGACCTAAATACTCACGGCCGTGCTGAGACACAATCCTTAAATCGGTGGCATTCCTGCGCGCTCTCTTTACGGAGCCAAGGAATCCCATCCTTCAATTAAGTGGGACACACATAAGCGCTCCTTGGCTCAAAGGTAAGTATCTGTGTGGCAACCTCGCATCGCCTATTCTTAATCGGGTGAGGGCGACACTTCTTCTACGTGTCAGATCCTCCGAGGGCCACCCATCGACATGCTCTTGATAGTGCTTCTCTGTTGATCCGGCCCATTGACGCTGCCAATGATGATGTTTTGTATTGCATTTTTAGCGTCCGAGGGACGGATTGCGGTGGTTATGTCTGAGGTTAGGGACGTCTCGGCCTTAGCTATCTCGTCCGCCTTTTTATTACCCTCGAGATCTCTATGTCCAGGAACCCAGACAACAACCACCGTTTCGGCCACAGGCTCAAGTTCGTGGTATCTCTCCAACAAGAATATGAATAAGAGGCCTCTTAAATGATTAATATCGTTTTATTAATCCAGAGCGGCTGCAAATGGGTAGCCCTCCCGTAATGCCACAAACATAACTTGAAACCAATCTGTTGGTTGTATACAATACATGAACAGTTTTAGATAAAAATAAATTAAGTAAAAAAATTGTTACGTATGTTATCACTTATTGAAAGCTAATGGTAGGGGGCGTCGGTGGCCGCAACGGTTAAGGCGTTGACAGGGCGCTCATCACTGTAAGGTAGGAGGTCCCGGGTTCGAATCCAGCGGCCCTGCAAATAGGCTCTTTTTCATAAACACGGGAACCCCGAGGGTTGTTGATATGACTCTGATGTAGCAAACCCTCGTAACAAATATAGCAACTGTTTTATTACAGATTATGACCAAATTAAAAAAAGCTTATGTTTATAAAAGATATTTAGCAATCTCTCGTATTCTTCTGAAAATGAACTTCTTTTTCAAAAACACCGACACCCCGAGGGTAATTGATGACTCTGCTGTTGCAAACCCTAGCAAAAAAATAAAACAACTGTTTTATTACAGATTGTGATCAAATTAAAAAAAAGCTTATATTTATAAAAGATCTTTAGCAATCTCCCGTATTGTTTTGAAAATGAACTTCTTTTTCAAAAACAGCGACACCCCAAGGGTAGTTGATGACTCTGCTGTTGCGAACCCTAGTAAAAAAATAAAACAACTGTTTCATTGCAGATTGTGACCAAATTAAAGAAGCTTATTTATATAAAATATTTTTAGCAATCTCTCGTATTCTTCTCAAAAATTGTTTTTAAAAATTAATCGGTGAGTACAAAAACGACATCAATTTTTTTGAATTCTAAGTTTTTCAAATCTGGTATGGAAAAATGAGAGAAAAAAAATAACTACACAATTAAAAGGAAAGCTTAACTCGTTTATGTAGAAAGTAAAATAAGTTTTCTTTATCTTAATTTAAAGTGGGGATTGAAGGAAATGTCTATCTCAATGTCGATTCCTTGATGTAAACTTAATGTAAATCAATTGGAGCTGTGAATATGCAAAGGGTCGAAAAGGTGCAGAGGTCGTAGGCCACCGTAATGAAGTGAACATGTTGCCGGTGTCAAAGAGGCTCATTTGCTAAGCAACATCTTCCTAAGCCCGCCTTACAACTGGTTCACAGCTTTCTAGTTAGTTGGCGTCACCATTTGAAATATCGAACTATTTATCAGAAAATAGTATTTTTATAAGAGTAGAGTATAGAGTTATCACTCTATCCAAAAAAGAGGAAATTTGTACAATGTTTACAGCAGTATACTAACCGTTATGACTTCTCCAGTAATAATCTCATTCATACTGTACTTTTTAAGTGTAATTGTATTATAATTGTCGCAATTTTATTAGTCTGATTACATGTATATACAACTGTAATACAATATTACAACTAAATCAGCCTGATCATGGCAGTGCTTACAGGATGGTGAGTATTGTGTGATACTCCAATTTTTAGTGATATATTACAATTGAAAAATTCGAATAGTCATTGTACACGTCTTGATGAATTGCTAGAAAATAGAGAGAAAGGTACTCAATTGACAAAAGGACAATTATGGTTGGTCTATAATTGGGTGTCAGGTTTTCCTAGGTTTTGAACAAATGTTATGTTGAGTCCTGTGTATGAAATGGTCAGGTTTTATATAAAATAAAGAGCTAGTGTGTATTAGACGTTTATAGTTTAAGGATAGTTTATACGTCAGTCAAATGACGTGGGTAGAATTATTTTTTGTCCAGATCCATACCATAAATACATACAATTGCAAATACACAATGTATTACATTTATTAGGTTTCGTGGTCCGCTTGACCAATTAAATTCTTTTAAATTAATTAAGGTTTTGGTTGAGATAAAAAAGCAAGTGTCACAAGCGGATTCGAACCCACGACCTTCGGCTAAATACGCTGCTCTACCACTTGAGCTATCGTGACTTCGATCCACTCGGACACCAACTTCCCTTCTCAACCCCCATTCGAATCCCGCTTGTGGCACTTGCTTTATCTCAACCAAAACCTTAATTAATTGAAAACAATGTATTACTTTTTTATTAACACAATTTTTGCATCGGCCCAATAAAAATTTTTCCAGCGCAATATCGTTTGTTCGCTTTTTTTATGCTTTCTGGAATGCTGTAAAATTTTTGCCTCAGTAACTTTTCCGGGCGAGATTAGTCTTCGAAGTGGAAAGAGGACAAGGGCCCTTGTATAAAGATGTACGAATTGTTTCACCCTTATACCAAAGAGGGGACCCCTCACACAATAAAATCGCTCGATAAATGTTTTTCGACACAAAGAATTTTTCTTTAAAGAGAGAGAAAAAAATCTTTCACCATTTTGAACTTTATTTTACAACATACATTTCACCTATATACACATATGTACAAGATTGAACAAAAAATGTTATACAATCATATAAATAATACACTGAAAAAGAAAACATGGGGATCTTTGAATTATGTTTATGTTCAAAATATTAATCCGACTCGAATAGCACGCTGGGAAAACAAACAAAATCACTGAAAATTCTATTAAATTCTAAACATATCAAAACAAATTGGTCACGAATCTAAACGGTAAAAATTTAATACATTAATTCAAGTTAAATAAACTCATAATAACAAAAATAAAACTCAAAAGAAGGATTTTATAGAAGTCACTCTTATATATGGAATTATTTTGAAAACCGTATACCCGCCAGGGCGTCGAGTTTTCATTTGCACTGTACCCCCCGTGAAAATTAAGATTAGAAAGGTGAACGTTTTCCTGGAAAAGCTTTTCCTCGCGGGCCTTTTGATTGTTTTAATTTCAATACTTGCTCATCCAGGAACTCCAGCCGGTATTTCCCTCATCATCGGCCTTTCTAAGAGAAAACATGCCGGCTCCGACGCATTTTTCACATACCGACAGTGCGCGTTCGTTCGGGCTAAAATTACCATTCTAGACAGCTTGATCGATCCAGTTCCAGTGCAGTTGAATTTTTCAGCCGATAGTTTCAGTTCGAGCCTAAGTCAACGATAGAAGTCAACAGTTAAATCGAACAAAAACGGGGCAAATTCCCATTGAAGCTTTTAGTACAAAAGTCTATTATTATTATTGAACTTTAAATATTCTTCCTTGTATTGTTTCTTAAATAACCACACTACAAATAATCAATAAGCCTTACAAAACAAAATTAATAAATGATAAGGTAACATCGATTTTACTGGTATAAAATATTAAAGAATATAACATTACAGTCAAGATTATAATATTAAATCTAGAAAAAATTATGGATTACATTAGTTTTAACCCTTTTTCGTTCAATGCACTGTATTTTTGAAATAAAATTTTAATATTTATTTTTGTGTTCATAATTTTTCCAAAGCGAATATAATTGTTTCATTAGACAAAAATGTATCTTGTCGTTATATACTCCAAAAAGAGTTTTGGAGAATATAAATATTTGATTGGTAGCTGGTTTCTTTAATCTGCCAATAAACGCCAAAGGGTTGGTAAATGTTTTCTAAGTTTACCGAACTAATCAAAATTAGAATACTGTATAAAAACATAATAGTACTGATAACGATTAGCTTCCTTTTTGTATTTTAGCAAATAATTCAGTACCTAATCTCCCTCCTTCATCAGTCGTTTATGAACTGTTTCGACACTGTGCGTTAAACCATTTTTCATGGATTCTAGCTAATTTAAAATATGACAAAACATTCTAATTTTGTTATATGCTAGAAATAAAACAGTTGATCGTCACACGACTCTATAAAATCGTCTTAATTATTGCCTTTGATTTGTTATTAAAGAAAATTTTCAGAAAGAAAAATTCTTTAAAAAATAATAAACTCGTTTGTAATGACAATATGACAGAATATGTTTCTTTCACAAGTTGTAATCATCGTTGATATTACAAATAAACACATTGAACAAATAAAATTCAAGTAACAGGAAGACTAGGAGTATCCAAATTTAAAATTAGTGATAACAAATTTGTACTGTTTTTTTAAATTTCCTGCTTTCAAAAATTGTTTATTGTCTTTATTTTTCTTATGGTTAGTTAATTTTTATTTTTTAAATGTTGATAAGTATGATTCCGAACTTTGGGCTTTTATGCTGTTCGTATCATTCAGAATGTAAAATTCTCGAACCCTGCATAAACATTAAAAAACTGGTAGAACGCAGGGTTTTACAGTTTTTGTTATTACTATAGTAACCATTGCAAATGGCCCGAGTAAAAAGAGCCGGGAGTAAAGTAGCCCGTTATCGACTAAAAAGGCTTAGAAAAAAGTAAAATTGAATAAATTCATTTAATATTGGCAGTCTTAAAGTGTCTGACGACGATAGTAACCGATTTGATTTAAAGGCTGAGTTCAGAAAACCCATGGGCTGACTGTGTTGTTGAACTTGGACGAGTCCCAACCGGCGATGTCGAGCGGGTGGTTCGCCTGTGGCACAAGACTCCGCCGGTACAATTTCAGCGTGTTGTACAGCCGTTCAACGATCGCGGTGTTGTTCGGGGCGAGGTCGACTTTCTCGCAGGGATCCCGGTCCAGGTTGAAGAGGCAAGGGTGGAAGCTGCAGTCGGGGGCGTAGAGATCGTCCGTCGGATGTTCTGCACACCGCACAGTCGCCTCGTCTCGCAGTATCCTCATTTGACCCTACACAAAATTGGTCACAATTAAATCTTTTGACGTAAATTCGGTTCTTCGTTCTCAATCTGTATCTTCATACTACCACAAGCTGTCATTATAGTTTACTACTAAAACGGCGGTGGCATCAATATTAGTTAAATCTTAGGAACAGATGGCTTGAATTATTGGAAAACCGAACACTTTCACTCAATGGCGAATGCAGTCTTTCTCTTCAAGACGTAGATAGAGTGCCGATAATTTTCAAACTTGTTATTGCTCCTTAAAAGCACACCTGATGCGTTGGTAAATCGCGAAATTGGCAGAGATCTTCAAAACATTTCCTGTCTTGGTGTGCGTCATTGCTTAGTATGGGTAATGCAAGAATACGCAGGTTATGCTATCACAGCTGGAAAGGAAACCTTCGAACAGCACATAGGCCCAAATAAATTTCGTAGCATAAATTAAAGCCCCCGTCATGTGGCAAGCAAACAGACTGCTTGCAAAAGCAACCCGAATGGAAGAAAAATGAAATCCGACTCAGCACAAAGGAATTTAAGGTACATGCTCCAGTAAACTATAACTTTTAAAAATGGAACTATTGACAGATGATCAATGTCGACTAGAAGGAACAAATATGACAGAGCCTATCATACGCAACTACTCATCAATAGCTAGGAAAAGGCTGTGGTACATAGGAAAGCCAAAGTCTTGATCAATGTAAACTTTAATACCATACTATGAAAAATTCTACACTTCATTGAAGAAATAAAAACGCCATATTTTTTTTTATACAGCGGCAATGCCACAGCCCGAGCCAAATGGAGCCCAGTCCTTGCAAGCCACAGAAAAGGACCAAAAGAACGGAACCCGACGGTTCGACTACATGGGCTAAAACTTTCAAATATTACAGTGCTTTATCGAGAAAGAGTCGCTGTGAATTCATTATCGACACTCCTTCAAGTTCACTGGAGATACTTTGAGTCCTTGGTTGCGCCACTAAATCTAACCTAAGAACCGACCAACACCCGACGTCCCGGATATGAAATTACATTTTATCTACCAGTTGAATGTCTGTTAATACATTAAAAATATGTTTATAACCGTGAATTACTGTTTAGTATTGAATATAGGTCTTTATGTATTTGGTTGTGGATTCTGGTTCAACTGTACAAAGAACAATCAATAATTATGTCAGTTGCAGTGATACGGGATATACAGATTGGACATGGGTTTATGGTTTTTTAGAGGAGGAAACTATGGGTGAGCCGGGAGTAGCAGAATTCGATGCCGGACTTATTCTTTTCAGGAAGGTCTGGAGGAGTCCCATTTTTTATGCAAGGAGCATATTTCCTGTATTCACATCTCTGAGAATACAAGACGAACAGCCTAAAATAAAGGTGGAACATAACGGTCAGTGAAGGAAATCGCATCCTTGAGATACCAGTTGTGGCGGTCTCAAAGTCATCAAAGATTCTTTATTTGTATAGAAAATGAAAAAGTCACGATTGATCTCGTTTAACGTACACAATTCGTAACTTCATTATCATTTATTTATTACAAATAAGCTCTTGTTTGATTTTTTCCCCGGTAGAACACTGACCCTATGTGTACCACGGATCCCAGCACAGCTACTTCTTGGTTTCAATATGAAGGATAAGACGAGAGGAAATCTACATGTCACCATCGTTAAGAAGACGTGGCGGGTTGTTGAGATGAAAAAGTGTTGGCTTTGGGGGTCAGGATTATCGGAAGTTTGGTGGGGAACTTTTGGAAGAAGGATCGCATCAGTTCATTGACAATAAGATTGTTCAGGTTTTTGCGGATAATGAGTTTAGTGCTGCATTAAGGAGCTTTGACAATTTTGATGAAAACGTTTGATCGGAAGGATTGGGTGCGCTGGAAGTTAGAGGTCTTGGGGAACCATACAATTCGACTCGGTATGTCCAAAGTTTCCTCAGGGATGTCTTGGACAGTTGAGTTTGGATGGTTAAAACAAATTTCGGTCTAAAAATTTCTCGTAATTCTCCAAGACTTTTTTTAGGTTGAATGTGGGTCTGTCAATGATATGCGAGATATCGACTACTTATAGAAACGGAATATGACGAAATGAACCTCTATAAGTCAGCCGAAGTTTTCTTTCGTGAGAAATAAGAAATGATTTTTATCTGTTTTGCCTCTATAAATTCAAATCCGTAGTTTTGAAAATCTTGATAAAAATGGTCGTTACCTCTCCAGAAGTCGGTGTATACAGGGTCGACAACGCTTTGAAAGACTTGCTGTTGAATATTTTTTTATATTCGTACGGAGGCGTCAGTGGAGACCGCACGTCGTTCAGGAACCCGTCGAAAATACCGTCCGCGAATGTCCCTGAAAAAAGAAAGTATAAAAAAGAAAATCCAATTTTTCAAAGGAGAAAATATATTTACGTACCTACGACCAATTTCCAGGTCCGTTTAGAAACATCGACAGTGTCGAACGTGGTGACGATGGCCGCATTCCTGTCCTTTTCGTTGATGTTGAGCAATGCCTGGGTTCTCCTCGACGGCAAGTTCCAGACCAGAGAGTACCATTGGTCAATACCGTCGAGGTTGCTGGGTAAATGTAATTTGTCTCCGCCTGAAAATGTTGATTTTGAGTTTGAATTGAACTGGCATTGAAATATCACCCTGGTCGTAATCCTTTGAATAATGTATTGATGAAAGCCGTTAACACCGCCTTTTATTTTCTGATCGCTGTCATGGATAAGATTAACCAGTTTCAAAGCATCAATGAAGACCGTTGAGAACGACTGGTCAACCAGTAAGATAAGCCATACTACTTTTTGTTTTCTAACAGAGGTCCTTTTTTAGAAAATTTGGCTGAGAATTCGCCATATGCATGAGAAAACAAATTTTTATGCTTTTTCTTTTGAATATAATAAACAAGTTTATTTGGAAAGTTAAAAGAAATAACACCACCTGCAGCTGTGTATAGCGTCGGTACCCAGTCGGTGACGTGAATCAACTGGTTCGACACCCTCGGATTCTGCTGTAGCTGCTGGGACCATATGAAGCTGCTGCTCTTCACGCCGCCTTCCCAAAGCGTCTCTTTTGCCTAAACCAAAATGAACATGATTTTAAGATTCATTTATGTTTTCATCCACGTATTAGGTGCTCACCCCTCTAAACGGTAAATTCGAGCCCCAATTCGGGAATATGGCCTTTGAAGAAGACGGAGCCCCGTTATCTGCCAAGAATAGTATGATCGTATTGTCCAGCATGTTTTTATCTTTCAAGGCTTCGACAAGTTCGCCGACCGCGTCGTCCATTTTGCTCACCATCGCTGTTGAACAAAGAGATTCGCCTAAGATTAGCAGATTTTTATTAATAGCGGAGCTTTTCTGGAAAACCTCGAACATTTTCAGATTACAAATCGAGATAAAGGAAGATTCAAAAGATTAAAGATCAAGGAAGCATATGTTACGTCACTCTTTAATTACCCCCTTGTTTATTGCACAAGAAATGGAGAATCATCACGCAATCAATGCACACATTTTAATCTCATAAATTGGTTTATGTAGAAGGTAGAATTTATGAGGTTGTTATATAGCACGTGTAATGAACTGAAAAAACGGCCAGGGGCGACGATGGGAGTCGAACCCACGACCACTGGGTCTACGAGCCAATAGTCTATCACACTGATCACTCGGTTACCACGGTCCCGTAATTAAATTAATTAATATCCTGTGAAGTACCACATTTTTCCAATGTATCAGTCCAATACGATTGGGAAGGGAATCAAAACGGCGGCGAACCAGTTCCTGACTGAATTTGGCCCACTCCTCCTGAATTTTTTGTTTTAATTTATCAACGTCTTGAAACAGTCGGCTACCACAATAAACACTCCTGGCAAGGTTTACCCAGACATTTTCAGTTATATTAATGTCTGGGGACCTTGCCGGAGAATGTAAAATTTGAATATTTTCTTTTTTTTAATTCTCTTACAACTTTTGACGTATGTGCTGGCGCATTATCTTGCTGGGAAATGATGTTTTGTTTGGAAACGTTTTAAAGTACTTTTTAAATTGATTTTTCTATCAATGTGACATAATCTTGACTCTTGATTCCGCCAGAAATAAAGACTATGTCAGTTTTGGCACCCCATTTGTATCTTAGAAAACACTATCCTTCTTTGCATAGGTCGAGATGATAGCTGAACCATCAGGACCATCGAGATTGATGTTTTTCATAAATGAACAGGACTTCCTTCCATTGGATATGATCGGACTTCTTCCATGCTTCTTTATGCGCCGTACTTTCGAGTTTTTTCTTTTTGATGTAAGGAGGTCCGCGAACGACACTTTTTTCAAATTTGTCTCTATACTAATGTTTGCAGCAATTTGATAGGCCGTTAAAATAGAGTTGGAAGCAGCCCATAAAATTGCCCGTTTTGTCGTGTTGTTAAGGCAGGTGGTCTTCCAGGAAATTTCTTTGACCCATAACTTTCTCGCGATTTCGAAAAGTTTAAAATCACTTTTCTACTTATACCAGTTGTTTTTTGATATATCAGAAATGCAAGCTCCTCGATTATTCATTCGCTGAATAAAATTTTTCTGGTGATGTTAAAGATTTTGCCCGTCATTGAACAGTTAAATGTTATCACATTGAAATCAGAAACAGAACTGAATTAATTTTGTTTACTTAGAAGTATTTGTTTTTATATGTAAATAAACATCAAGTGCACTTTCTCTTTATCCCACCCCAAATAAAGCATAATTTTTTGATCTTAGAAATTATTTTATATTAACATAAGATAATGTTTCAATTTTAGCAAAATAAACTATGCATAACAAAAAATATAATATCAATGTTCAACATTTCTTCAAGAGGGATCTTTTTATCTTCACCCTTAATTTACAATATCTACCTAAGGTTGTGGAAGTTGTATTAACATATGCTAACGGAGAAACTACACGCCTCGTTGAAAAAATACCAATTAACTTGTTTATGTTTCTTCTAGGCTTTATTTAATTCAAAACTGAAAAGAATATCAAATTTGTGGTGTTGGTTGTTCGGTGAGTGGATGAAGTCTGGTTGAAGTTTTCTACATTGTACACTTCACTGTGGTCGAGTCTCACTGGTTTCTTACGGATCAGACATTTCGCCTTTGAAACATTTTCCGTGAGGAATTATTGCTATAAAGTTCCTCATTGAAGATCACCATACAATTTTGACACTGGTGAAGAAATTTGGTCACTTGGATAATTACTTCACAGTTTTTTCTACTTAACATTGAATACATAACTGCTCTTTACTTTTTGCATTGCGCATTGTATTCAAATGTAGCAGAAAGACTGAACCGAATCTGCAAAAAGTCGGAAGATATCTCGATTCAATTCTAATAACTGACTTTCTTATGACAAAGAAAGAAGTCGGAAAAAGCATATTAATATTATAAAGTACTGAAGAAGGACTATGCAATATATCAACTTAAATGGCTTCACATGCACAACTCGAAGAGAAAAAAACAACTATTTTTTAAAAATAAATTTTCTATGAGGGTGGATAGTTATTTATAACTATAGTTATATATATATATATATATAACTCATATATGCTTAATTTAACAAAAATTCAACATCATTTTTCAAATAGTTGTAACATTACCAGCATATGTCCTTCTGTTTGGGTCCAGTATGTACTTGAGTGAGTTGACCCTCGCTTGTGGTGCTTCTAAGAAGCGCCCCTTGTGAGATCCGTGAGGCGCACTGTGCGCCATGAAAAGGAATAGCGGTTCGCTCACTGGATGCGACTTGACCACGCGGACCGCCTCGGATGAAAACACTTCCGTCGAATACCTGCCGACATAGTCCCAAACCGGTGTGTCGTTCTTCCTCAGATCTAGCCCGTAATACTGATTCCCATCTACCTGTCGAGTAAAGCAAAAACGTAAATAGTCGCATATTGATAGTTTTATGAGCAGAAGAAATGCACCTGACAGGGGCAGAGAGAACATCATGATCGATAACGATTAAATTGAAAATTTAATGATTAAACTTGAACGGTTTGATACAATGAAGAAGGCAATATGCCGAGACGCATCTAGCGAACCAACCCAGCAAATACGGGAAGACCAAAATGATCGATAACGATCAAATTGCATGCTCATTAAACGGCAGACCATAGGAGGAAATATCACGGTTTAAAATGTTTAAAACATACATCTGTAAAAATCTGTAAAAAAAGGCCTGACAAATAATAATAAAAAATTATTGATGGTCCGTTATATTTAGTGGTCTATTGATTGGTTGGAATGAAAAAGCTAGTGCCACGAGCGGGATTCGAACCCACGACCTTCGGCTCAATACGCCGCTCATCTTACCACTTGAGCTATCGTGACTTCGATCCACTCGGACACCAACTTCCCATCTCAACGTACCTTTCAAATTTTCCCTCCTTTTTGCCATTGTTCAAATGTCGTGTAATCAGGATTCGATCCTCGGAGCAAGAAAAATGGCAAAAAGGAGGGAAAACATAAAGATTGTTCATAGTGGAAAATAGAGAAAAATTGAAAATAAGAAAGAAGACCGTAAAGCAATACTGGTCGTACTTAATATTTTTAAAACATCAAAGAGTCTGGGAATGTTTTGTCCGATTCAACCGCAATATGTCGGAAAGGAGGTCCATAAAATGAAATTAGGCGAGGCAGAAACGAGGAAGAGAACAGGACTTGGTACTTTTAAGGCGCTGGTCCGGAGCACGCGACTATTTCCAGTCGTGCGGCTTAGCCTGTTCATAAGCCTTGAAGAAAGTAACTTGCTTTTCGACTAATCAATCACCAGCATTACGCCTTAGGCTTTTTAATGAACGGCCATAGTAACGAATTAGTGTAATTGGCGTGTTTCCTCGCTTCCGCCTCACCGTCAAGACCGTCAACTATTCCAGGAATTATGAATTATCAGAACTGAACCGTGAAAATCTAGAAGGAAGAAGTCAAGGCCGCAACGGCTAATGTCCCTGCTCTCTGATTAAAAAACAAGTGAAAAATAAAAACAATTTAATTAAAAATAGTAACTACTGTTTTGTCAAGAAGGGTTAGTGGGATTTTTTCGTTTTAGTCGATTTATGTTCAAAGGTGCGTTACATCACCAACCTCAAATGTACTCATGTAGTCGTAGTAGCCGATGTATCCACCGTAGAAGCCGAAAAACGAATCGAAACCCCTTCGTGTCGGAAGGTAGTCCTTTCTGTAGAAGCCGAGATGCCACTTGCCGACCAAGTGCGTCTTGTAGCCGAGGTCGCGGAGATAGTCCGGCAGAAGCTTGAGGTGCAGTGGCAACCCGTCAGGCTGTGCCACCATCAACGGCCCCCCCTGCATACCTGCAGGAGCAAATTAACGTTTGTTCCGTTTCGAAAAAAAAGAAAAAAATCCTTACCGATGTGAATGGGGTATCGCCCGCAGAGGAAAGCAGACCTGGACGGTGTGCAGACGGGCTGGACGTAATGGTTGTTGAGGATGATGCCGTTGTAGGCCAAAGCGTCAAGATTCGGGGTCGGGATCTGGTCTGATCCGTGAAAACCGACATCATTCCAGCCCTAAAACACACAAAAAAAATTTATTAGGCAAAAAGTTTCAAAACGAAAAAAAAAACTTTATCCAAAAATACGACAAATTTTAACATCTTAAAATCAACGTTTCTACTTAGAAACTTTCAGAAATTTTTTTCAAATGTTACTAATTTTATTATCATCAATGTTACTTAATTGATGATTTTATATCACAATATTTTATTGTTAGATTTCTCAGGTGATGAAACTTCAAGTTCTCTCTTTTAGTATAATTTGGAAAATTGATCTGCTAATCAGTCAGACCAAACCAGCAATGAATGCAGGCCCATAATGATTGGAAAAGAACAAACTACAATATTTTGATTGCTTACTGGAGTGAATAAAGTTAAACCTTTTGGCAGAAATCCATTTTCCTGTAAAACGCCGCTAAAAAAAAAAATTAAATTTTGACAATGTAAACTTAACTATAATGACTTATACCGTTATGCAATTCAAAAACAAAGTTTCGGTTCTTTCTAGCTGTTTGTGATTTATCGGGATTTGTTTATTTTAGTTAATGCTAGAGGTCGAAAAATTAAATTCAGGTAAAAAGCGGGTCAAGTTTAAACTACTTGACCACCCAAACCCCGGATAGTTTTTATTTAACTTTCAAGATTTAACTTATTCAGTGTGTTCATCGTTTTCCTTTTTGAAAATTCGACATGCGTGCCTGTCTGTTGTGTCTACCTCCATTGATTTTCTCTTATTGGCCTGTTGGCAAATAAGCACGATCTGGTTTTCTATGTTGTTTATGTAAATTGTCAATGTGAATAAGGGTTATGCTGTTTGTCACTTGGAGAGGACGAAAATCAAAATTAGTATTTTAAATACTATAAATTGGCAGTAATACTTTTGTATTATGTTACCAACTAAATTTATATCAGTTGATGGTGAGCTGGTAATAAATAAATGAAAAATGTTAAGTTTATGTATTATTACTACCTATAATAACTACATATACAACAGAAATATAATGTATTCATGAGTCATTAAATCTGGATCCTAAAGAAACAAAAAAGTTCTAAAATAATTTTTAACTATAATTAACATTTAACACAAAGTAAAAAAATTAAAAACAAACAATTAACAAAATAAATTAAATATAATTATTTATCAATATTTAAGTGAAAATAATCTTTCGGATTTTTATAGCTATGAAAACCTTGAAAGTAGAAACTTATTGAAAATTTGGTTTTTCTGGCTAAGCTCACTCTAATTGTCATCAGGGATAAAGTATATGTAACTGTGGTACGAGTATTTTCTTTCGATGTTTATTAGAAAGGTGTACCCACTTGGAGAGGACGATAATTGAAACGGTTCGAAATGGGTTTTTTAAACCATAACTAGGCAGAAATATTGTCAATGGTTTTATGCTATTAACTTACAAATTAAAAACCTACCCCTCACGAAAGCTTCAGGATTTGACATCATTACCCTTTTCTACTCTTCGTAAACTTCCAAAAAAGCCTGTTTTCCTGACCACCCTTTATAACAAAACCCTCCGTATAAGTCACTTCCTTACGCCTTGGACATGTTTTGTTGTTTACCCAATCGCTCGAATAAACCACACACCTCCCGAATTCCTACCGTTGGTAAGACCCGAAAACCTCCTTTATAAACAAATCCATCTAATCCTGGAATCCTCTAGTATGATCCCCGAACATCAATTTGGCTTTGTGTTTCCTTTCTACTGTTCAACAGTGCCATTGGGCTGTGGACATCATCGCACCCCCTTGAGAAGAAGTCAGTCTTTTTCGAAGTCGAACAGGTATAGTACCTGGATTTTTTCTGTTAACTGAAGGACATCCTACCCTTTAAACACTTCTGCATCTTCATATCCTACCCAGACGACAGGTACTTTAAAGTTTGGGTCGGATACTCACACTCTCCTTTGTACTCCTTGTTGCAAGAGTCCCTTACTGTACCTTTTCGGCCCGCTACTGTACTCTGTATATAGTTCTGATATATCTTCCCACACTTACCCCACTGTACTAATATTGTATATGCTGATGACACTATGACTGCTCCATCCTCTAACTATGACCCTGTCATAGCTCACCGAACCCACCAGACATACCTATATTCCGTTGATCAATGATTCAAAAAATTTAATCGAATCGAACTAATCAAAACAATTTCCTCACCTCCTTCCCACTGAAAACGTCATCCGCTACATAGGGCTGCTTGTAGACAAACGACTCAATTGTAATCCCCATACACGACATAAAATATTCTAAACTGTCCCTTCTCAATTGTTTACACCACCTTTAGACTCGGGGGTGTGGAGCCGGTGTCCGGTCGGATCACGCAAATACAAGGATGGATTCGAACCCGAGACCTTTACCTTACAGTGAACTCCTAACCTTTCAGGCCACCTACTCGACGCTTTTTACTTGTACATTGATATACCTCTAGTTTATTCATATTTTAGTTGAAATATTTTTCCGTCAATACACCCCGAAAACCGAAATTTTTCAAGGGTTGTTTATTGCATCAAAATCCAATAGATAACCATATTGTATATTAAAGTATATCTGTCGTTTGTAATACGCCCCTGAGGTAAATTTCCTTGATTAGCAGATTCAGATGTTCGCTGAAGCTAAAAGTGTAACTTCCGGCTAATGAGGTCATTGTGAAGGCTGGAATTCCGGAACCGACCTTTCATAGCTCTCAAGAGATATCAATATCTGGAAGAACACTACGGAAGCGACTGCCGAATTTAGCAGAGGAGTTTGGAGGAGTTTTGGAATTTTTTATATTTTCATATTAGTATCGAATTGATAAGGGTTTTACTGAATATGTGAGTCTGACTAAAAAAAAATAATTACTTCATTGAAACATACTACATTGACTAATGAAACGGAATGAAGTTCATAAAGAACGCCAAAAACAGTTCACACGTGACCATATAACGTGGAGGGAGAAATAGAGAAAAATTATATTTTCAGGTGTAAAAAACATCCACACATTTATTATTTCACATATTATTTCCACGACCAACTGAAACAAGAAATGGTATTTTTGGAAAGGCAAATGGGTGGAGGAAGCGTGGTTGTATGGGGAACAGAAATTGTGTTTGTTTCTAGTAGAAAGAACAGTACGCCATGTATAGAATTAATAGAAAATCAATTAGCAAGGTAATTGGGAACCAATCAAGTGAATAATTTGTATTCTAGCGGGACAAAGCTCTTGTCCATTCAGCGAAAATGGTCAACGCCTTTATTAAAAAGGAAAAAAATCAAGTTTTGGAATGGCCAGCTAGTTCTCGAGGACTTAATATAATCGAATCATTTCAAAATTTGGTCAGGGGTGTTAATAAGGACTTGGAAAGGATGAAATGCACGTCCCAAGAATAATGGGAAAATAGAAATTTTCTCAAGATGTTCCTCAAAATCCAAATCTTCCAAATCAAAGCTAACAAGACTGTAGAAACGGCTTAGTAGAATTATTTTGTCATTATTTTTATGTGCTTTTTTAAATTTTATTTAAGTTTTAATAAATACATTCTGAAAATATGCTTTTTTATACCACCTCAAAATTCGTATTTACTTTTACTTCCCGAGAGTAATACTGTAGGGGCAGATAAATAATTACCAAATAAATTTAAAATGTAACAACAAAAGTTATTTATGATTTAAAAAATTAATAAAACAATCAAATTTACCATGTACCCAAAATATCATGATGTCTTTTTTTCCAGAGCTTAGTTTCAAAGTCCTGATGAAATGGATTATATTTTTGGAAAACTTGACGAAGGAACTGAGTGTTTTTCTTTTTTTCATATTCCCTTCGTCCCTCATATGGTATATACAATAGGACAAACTGAAAATAAATGATAAAGGTTGTCTACTTCCTTTAAATTACGCAGAATATTTGACCAAAATTTTATCAAAGAGTTTTCTAATTTAGTTTTAATTTTCTTAATTTAGACCCCACGATTTGCTTTTATATTTAACTTTCACCTGTTAAATGGAATTAATATGATGTGTATTTTAATTTAATTTGGTGCAGAAATTATGATAAAATTCCTTCTCTAGACTTTGTCTAAGCATTCTTCCATTCCTATTAGAAATTTTTAATTGAAAATTTGTCTATTCTCAAATATGATTGAACAGTCTTTTAATTGTGTATTTAATGTACGTTGGCAAAAGCATTCAGCAGAACGTAGCAACCGCAAGTATCGGTTTTTGAAAGGTCGGATGAATCGGAGCGGTTCTTGGCATTAATGTTTACGAGATCCTAGACTCCTTCCTATAAAAATACAATTTCAAGACTTGCCAACTATTTCTAAATTCGCGACGCCATTCCTTGGACATGAGAATCTCTGTGTTCAATTAAGACACGTAATGTTGTAGACTCATGTTAATTAATATACTCTTATGGAGGATTTCCTTTGCTCCGGCGAACACGCAAATACGGAGGACTCAATTATTTTTTCCTCCGGGACCGGAGAGGAAAATTTCGATTCCGGTTTTGTCTCCCAATGTTTCCTGTCACATGATAAGTCAAAATGAAATAAAACTCCAAATACGACAATAATGATTTTTATCTTGGCTTGTCCACTAGGGTTTTTTCTTTTCATTGTCAAGGAGAAAAACGTCTGGTAGAAATGATAGCATAACAAACGAATATGGTCAATTTAAGTTTTATCAGGGTATTAAAGCCAACGATCATAATTTCGCTGCATTTTTCCGGGTATGTTTTATTTACAGAAGAAAAAATTTGTTGTCAACATTGGGAACGTAAACTTTTATGTAACTGATAAGTGAAGTGAGCATTAACTTAAATCAAGAGATACTCTCGTAAAAATTTTATTGCCGACAATTTTATTTATTTATTACAACTACAGGTACACAGAAAAAAATTCAAATTTAGGTAATAAGTAAATGTATAAGACAAATATAAGTGGATAGAAAAGTATATAATAGGCCTAAATGCAATTTCATAGAGGAATTTGAAGTTTTTCTAGTTTTATACTTGTTTGCTCC